AAAATTCTATTCACAATCCTCTTTTTACTAATCAAATAATAATAACTCAATTATTTAAACTACCCTTATTAAACATAACGATCGTTAAGTTAGCACTAAGCGCAGAAATAAAACACAGGCCACCGGAACGCAGAAGCTCTCAAGCAGGGGTGGACCCAGGAAAGTCATTTTGGGGGGGCGAAAAAATTTTTTGGGGGGTCAAAATACTTTTTGGAAGAGCAAAAATTATTTTTCGTATATATATACACTAAAAAAAAAATTGTTGGGGGGCGGTAGCCCCCCTGGGTCTCTACTACGGTCCGCCCCTGCTCTCAAGCGCACAAAGTCAAGGAAGGAAGAAAGCATAGGTACGTAATTCAAGTTGGGTTTCAATGGAAAAGTGATCAGAAAGCTCTAAAAGTGGAAAGAAATCAAGCGATAGACTAGAAGTAGAAAAAATACAAGTCGTGCAGCAATAATGAAATAAATGGATGAGTAATAGAAATCGTACAGAAAGAGATTGAGAAAAGAAGCTTATTATTACTTAACTTGTTCTGGAGCAGCATTACAAGATATATATAGAATCAGTTAGGTCAGACTACTAACCAACACTAACCGACTCTAACAAACACAGATTATTACAATTAAGTACAATAGACTATTCTAGAATGTATATCTAACATTCCCCCCTTGAAGATGAAGGTGATTGATCAACAACACTGAGTTTTGTCCTTAGATCAAGAAAATTGGAGCTAGAGAGTGGTTTTGTTAGGATGTCAGCAACTTGATAGGGAGAAGGAATGTGATAGACTTGAAGCTGCTTCAGATGGACCTTTTCTCTAACAAAGAAGAGATCAAGTTCCATATGCTTGATCCTAGAGTGTAAGATAGGGCTGTGAGCAAGCTGAACAATGCTCAGGTTATCACAATAGACTTTAGGAACTGAGAAAGGGACTTGAAGTTCTTGTAGAAGGAATTGAATCCATAATAACTCTGCAATAGTATCAGCTAGGCTTCTATATTCAGGTTCAGCTGAAGACCTTGCTACTCTGTCCAGCTTTCTTGACCACCATGAAACAATGTTAGAACCCAGAAATATGCATGAGCCAGATGTGGATTTCCTGTCATTAGGGTCAGATGCACAGTATGCATCACAATAGGCTGAGATTGGAAGAGGTATGGAGGATAGAGGTAGAGGTTTGATGATGAGGCCATAATTGGTGGTACCAGATAGATACCTGAGAATGTGTTTAACTGCAAGCCAGTGTTCTTGCAGTGGTGCTGCCATAAATTGACAAACCTTGTTGACTGCAAAACATATGTCAGGTCTAGTAAGAGTAGCATATTGCAGAATTCCTACAACTTATCTGTAGTAAGAAGGATATGGGAGATGGTTACTGCCCTCTTGAGTGAGTTTTGAAGTGCTGACCATAGGTGTTTTCACTGCTTTGGAGTCAAGCATACCAGTTTGGTTAAGTAAATCCTTGATATATTTGGCTTGGTAGAGGTGTAGGCTGCCATCAGGTAGTTTATGTGTTTCTATTCCCAGAAAGAAGTCAAGGTCTCCCAAGTGCTTCAAAGAGAAAGAGGAGTCTAAGAGTTTCAATAATCTGGCGAATGGCAGTAGGGTGATTTCCAATAACCAATGTCATCAACATAGATTAAAATGTATATTTGGATTCCAGAAGACAGATAAATGAGCAAGGAAGGATCACTTTTACTCTGTTTGAAGCCAGCTTTATACAAAACTGAAGTTAATTTGAGAAACCAAGCCTGTGGGGCTTGTATAAGCCCATACAAGGACTTATGCAACTTGCAGACAAGAGAAGTGTCTTACACTTGAAAACCTGGAGGCTGCACCATGTAAACTTCTTCATCAATTTCATCATTTAAGAAAACATTATTAACATCAAGTTGCTGAATAGACCATTTATTAGATACAACAAGTGTAAGAAGAACTCTTATTGGAGAAACTGTTTCTCCAAAGTCAGTACCAATTTTTTTGATGAAAACCCTTAGCCACCAGTCTGGCCTTGTACTTGTTCAGAGAACCATCAGCATTTCCTTTAATTCTGAAAACCCATTTGCAGCCAATTGCTTGTTTGTTTGGAGGAAGAGGTACAAGAGACCAGGTATTGTTGGAGATCAATGCATTATACTCACACTTCATAGCCTCAAACCAGTGAGGAGAAGCCATGGCTTGTTTTACTAAGTTAGGCTCAGTATGAACCAACAGTAAGGTTGGATTAAGTCTTGGTTTTACTATCCCAGATTTGGCTCTAGTCCTCATAGGATGGTTGTTGGTGACAGGAGCAGGAGAGATTGGAGAAGAAGAAGGTGTGATCTGAGTGGTACCGTTAGGTTGGATAGCAGGAGTGGAAGAATTTGAGGAATCTGATGCTGAAGAGGAATGTTGACTTTGGTTGTTTGAACCAGATTGACTTTCTAAAGAAGATGACTGATTTGATTGATTTGTAGAGGATGATTCAGTTGTTTTGGATGGAAATGAGATGGATATAGGAACAAAGATAGGCAGTGGGAATTCAGGTGATTTAGGTGGTGAGGAGGGAAAGAGGGTGAGGTAAGGAAATTTGGACTCATTAAAAATAACATCTCGAGAGAGAGATATTTTTCCCAAAGGAGATAGGCATTTGTACCCTCTGTGAGTAGAAGAATATCCAAGGAAGATACACTCTTCAGAGTGAAACCCAAGTTTGTGCTTGTTATATGGCCCGATGAAAGGATAACAAGAGCAGCCAAAAACTTTGAGAAAGGAATAGTTAGGATGGGAGCCATACAGTTTGAAATAAGGGCTGACATTGGAAATAGATTTGGATGGAGTTCTGTTAATGAGATGGACTGCAGTAGCAAAGGCTGCATCCCAGAATTTAAGAGGAAGGGCAGAATGTGAGAGAAGAGATAGACCTTTTTCAACAATATTTCTATGCTTTCTTTCCACAACACCATTTTGATAAGTGTGTGGACAAATGACCCTATGAGTGATTCCTTTTTCAGACAACAATTGATTAAAAGATCTGAATTCACCTCCCCAATCAGCTTGGAGGGACTTGATGGAGACAAAAAATTGATTAAGGTCATAGTTATAGAAGTTGGTGAAAGCAGAGAGAGCATCAGATTTTCTCTTTAAGAAATACACCCAAGTGAATCTTGTGGATGCATCAATAAAGGCTATGTTATAAGAATCGCCATCAAAGGATAGAATAGGGGCTGATCCCCACAAATCAGTAAAAACAAGTTCAAAAGGTTTATTGTATGGTGTTATGGAAGGGGATGAAGGCAACCTGTGTGACTTGCCTAAACAACAAGCAGAACAAAACTCAACAGCATTCTTATTAACAAAAGGAACATTACATTGTTGAAGAATACATTTGAGAGCCTCAAAATGAGGATGACCAAGTCCTAAATGCCAAAGATTACATGTTTTAGAGACATTACATGGCTTAACATTATTACAAGTAGATAGAAATGTAGTGGAAGATGTAGAATTAAGACTAGATGAAGGTAAAGAAGAATGTGTTCTGCTCTGTGGAGTAACTTGAACTGGAACTGAGTGAAACCTGTACAAACCATCATTTCCAAGGACATCATATAAAAGAATCTGTCTAGAAACCTGAGATTTAACAAAACACTCATAAGGATAGAATTCAAAAAAGGCATTTATCCATGTTAATTTGCCTGAGAACTCTTTTGGATATATGCAACTGGTGAATTAATATTCACCCAACTCGGTATTTAATTTCAAAACAGACCCGAGTTTCCCGAGATCCTTCATCTCAATTACGCTATATCATGGAGATACAATGATATTTGGAAACAAAACTTATTTCCATTATAAATGCGCAAGGCATAATATATTCATTTTGCATACCTTTTGAGTCAAGTGGTCACTTAGACGGGTATGTCACTCCCGTCTGAATTGATTTAATCCAAATGTGAACGTTTCAATGTAGATATACAATGTAATTAAAAACCACTTGATTAGAGATAATGAAAACATAACAAATGTTTCATATATATCTCTTAAATAAATTTTTACTGAGACGTTTAATAGCCACACTCTTTAGCTACATCTCCATTACTTTGGAGACTACTTAGAGATTGAGTGGTTGAACATTTTTGTGTTCAGAATAGAGAAGTAAAACTTTTCTTATTTGAATCCATGGCGTTATGAGAATAATTAGGATCTCATTATCTCAATACGCTTTTTAACAAAGAATTACTTTATGTCCTACAGGCTTTACACTTGGTTGATTAGCACTATCACACCAAATACCCGACTCCTTTGTCAAATATTAAATTTATACATGGATTACTTTTACACATTTAGGCCAATATTCTCATTGCTTTCATATTGCAATAGAGTATGGTTCGATATCATCGTGCTTTATACTCCTTTGAGCAACCGTATAAATATATCATCAGAATAAGTTTTAAGGTCTACCATTCAACTCAGACACACTCTCATTAACATTGAGATTTTAATTACAATATTGCTCCTCTCCGTAGGAGAGAGATAGAAAGAGGTGGGGAAATTGTGGGGTAGGGAAAAAGAAAAGATTATGTTTAATTATTATTTTTAAGGAGAGAGATAGAGTGAAAAAGAGGCCATGTGGGATGCACAATACATGAATTGTAATATTTTTTCTAACAACCATTATAAGTTTCTGGCATCCACTACTAGTAACGTCAAACCTGCCTCTTTCAAAGAGGCCATGTGGGATGCACAATGGCGACAAACCATGCAAGATGAAATTCGTGCCCTAGAAGATAATCTTACATGGACTATTGAAGATTTACCTCCAAGTAAATCCGCCATTGGTTGCATGTGGGTTTTCCGCATTAAATATAAATCTGATGGGGCCATTGAACGATATAAGGTTAGACTGGTTGTTTTTTGTAATCATCAAGTCTCGGGTATTGATTTTGTTGATACTTTTTCCCCAACCGTCAAGATGATCACCATGCTTACTTTCCTTACGGTTGCGGTTAATAAAAATCAGGAGTTACATCAAATGGATGTGTATAATGCATTTCTTCATGGTGACTTTGATGAAGATGTATATATGAAGCTTCCTCCCGGCTTTGGTGATAATTCTTTGGGGAAAGCATGTCGGCTTTGCAAATCTTTATATGGACTCCGCCAGGCTCCGGTGTTGGTATGTTAAACTCGCTACTGCTTTACGAGCTTATGATTTTCACAACAGTCGTTCTGATCATTCCTTATTTGTTTATAAAAAAAGGTTATGTTTCCCTCAATATTCTTGTTTATGTTGACGATCTCGGCATTGCCAGAAATGATAGTTCGTCTATCATTAAGTTCAAGAAATACATGCATATGTGTTTTCGTATGAAGGAATTAGGGAAACTAAAATATTTTCTCGGTATTGAGGTTGCTCGTAATTCTGGCGGTATCTTTCTTTGTCAATGTAAATATGAATTGGATATTCCTACTGAGGCAGGTCTTCTTGCTGCCAAACCCGCCAGCACACCTATGGAGGAAGGTCATTCTTTAGCTCTTGCTTTAGATGATCTCTTGACCGATCCTATCAAGTATAGACGTCTGGTCGGTTGACTGATTTATCTACCTATTACACGGCCTGAGTTGTGTTATTCTGTCCACATTCTATCTCAGTTCATGCAGCAGCCTACTCGGTCTCAATGGGACGCGACGTTACGCGTTGTCCGCTATTTAAAGACCATGCCCAGTCAAGGTATTCTCTTGCAGGCTAATTCTGATCTATCTTTACGGGCCTATTGTGATCCTGATTGGGCAAGTTGTTTAGGGTTTTTTGACACTTTTATATTCTCTGTTTTACTTTATTTTCCCAGACTGCACTGATTTTCTGGTTTTGCTTTATTTTTGCTCGCGTGAGTCAGGTTTTTGGGGACATTTTGTTATTTTTATTCGCTGGATTTAGATGACCAAGTAGGCGGCGATAATCTAATGTTTGTTTGATAGACAAGTATCTCCTCTTGGTCTTCATAGGCTATTTACTCGTTCAGTGATTAACGAATTCTACATTTATTATAGCGGGAGTAACCTTATGTCTAATCCTACGTCTGTTGACCAAGTAAGCAGTGGTAATGTGATGAATTGTTTAAATTTTGTTGAGATGTCAATTTAAGCTTTTGTTCTTCAAAAAATAATCTATTCTTACATTTCACTCGGTCTAGGCAAATTGCATCAATTTAATTCTTTTTTTTTCAATTCGTTATAATTTATTCTACGAAATTACAATCGATTTAGTAATTTGTTCATATTTTATTGATCAATCCAAAGGTAGATGTAAAATTAAATTCAACATTGATCTTATTTGAAACTTGAGTGATAAGTTTTACCCGTTTTAAAGTCTCACTTGAAAGAGCATTTGAGAGCTTTGATTCAAGGGTTTAAAGTTTATAATTTTGTATGAGGCATAGTAACTATTTTTTATTATATTAAGGAAAATTTAGATATTTAGATATTTTAGTTAATTTAATAAATTAATTTTTAATTTAGAGGCTATGTATAATTTTAGTTTAAGGGTTGTCAATAAAATTAACTTAGAAACATGGATAATTCAATTAACAGCCCCAAATTTAAAAAAATAAAACAAATTGCAATGGCTATTTTATCCAAATCTAAGTGGGGTGTCCCCAAGTTGGATTGTAAAAGATTTTGGAATTCCACAAGAATCTAGGCATCCCAAAACATATTTGGAAAGACTCCTTTAAAATCCTACCATCCCCAACCATTCCATGGAATTCCATTAACTTTGTTCTAACCTGATTTCAATGGAATTCTTATAAAATTAGGGCTATAAACGAATCGAATCGAATCCAATTGAATACTTGACAATATTATTCATATTCATATAATTATCGAACATATGTATTTGTATTCATTTAATATTCGAATATTATTTCATATTCGTATACGATTTATTGGTATATTCGAATACCTACTAGTTTTTGTACATAAATATTATGTCATTGATATTTTCACACTGAGTTATATTTATTTATAAGGACTAATATATATTGTATGAATATATATTAGAATATATTTAAATATTGTTCGATTCGAATACCATAATATTTGTATTTATGTTCGAAAACTATTCGAATAAAAAACAGATTTGTATGCGTATTTGTATTCTACTTACTCGAATTCGAATACACATTAATCAATTTTAGCAGATTCAATCAATTAGATCAGATCATGTCACAATAAAATCTTAGGTTTGAAATTTGAGAATATGATTTCTGAGTTCCTCTTCAAATTTACCCGTCAACCTATCATATTTTATTTGTAAACACTAATAAGATACTCCCTCCGTCCCTAATAACTTTGCCAAGTTTGACCGGCACGTGAGATAATAAAGTAAGAACTGTGTGGTTAAGGTTTGTGCAAAGGAGAGAGAATGAGCTGAAACCACAAATTCTTTACTTAAAAGGAAATGTGACAAAGTTAGTTGGACATCTAAAAGAGGAAGTTATCTACTAATATCTAAAAGCAAACTGTTTTGGGCTCATTGTTTTGCCGCTCAAAAACATCAACGTCTGTACGCATACTCCGTATGAATATTGTCTCCACTTGAAAAAATACAAAGTAACAAATACGGAGTAATATCTAAATGACAAATGAATGACATTGCTACGTGCATTGTGTGAGTGAATGTATTTGGTGAGTATTGATATGACAAGTCCATAATGTTGCCAAATTTGTTCCATAGTGGGTTGCATAGTTTCTCCACAGTAGCTCATTTAATTTATGCGTGAAGCTTTTAAATTGCATTCCCACGTTGCATTTGATTTTTAGCTTTTAATGCATTGAGGCTATCTTTATTGATCCAATTGGGAGGTGCAAACAGTGTTTCAAGTGATCGATATGACATGTCATGAAATGAATGGGATTGTGGATTGGGATTTGGTCTTGGTTTTCCAAAAGCCAAGTTCGGTCAAGTGAGGTGCAAACATTGTTTAAATTTGAAATCAAACTAAATAGTGTTCCCTCTAATTTTCAAAATTTTATTTCTACGCGGGTAAGTGTGGGTGGGTTGGTTTCCTTCCTAAGCTCTAGCCCTATAAATAGAGGACCATTGACATCCAAGGTCTCCACATCTAGCTCTTCCAAAGCAAACAATAGCTTAGGCAAAAATTCTTAAGATGGTTGGCATGTGGTCCATGTTCCGAGAAATAGACCAGAGCAAAACCACATGGGCGTTCAAAGCTAGGGCTATTCGTGTTTACCGGAGCCTGCGCATGACTGTTTTCGATCTCTAGAGTAAAATATATCAACAATTTATCATAACTAAAAAAATACTTGAACAGGATTGTAACACCCCCAAATTTCCCGCCCAAAACATTGATATAATTGAAATAAAACTTTTATTTATTGATAATGAAATTTAAAGAGTACAACGGAAGTCTAAAATTGGGAAAAGAGTGTTACCGCCACATCCGGTCATCTCTCAACCGAATGCACAAGCAATTAAAACAAAACAATAAAAACTAAATAAATAAATGTTTGTTTCAAGACTAAATTTGACTAAGGTATCTTCTAATTCGCTCTCAATCGCAAGCGATCAACAATCAACATAATCATCATCACCTGCAAAGTAAAGTGCAGAAAACAAAACAAAGGAAAGAAAACAAAAATTAGCTTTAGAGCTAAGTAAGTACTACCCAACCCCGTAAAATAATCAGGTTTGGTGAAAATAATTTTTATATATAATAGTATATAAAAATAACACACTCCATCAAAATCATTTTCACTTTGATTTTTCTCAAAACCACTTCTTTACTAAAACACTTCTTCTCTAACTCCCTAGTAATTTAGAAGGGCGGTGCTCAACCTTTCGACTGAGCCCGGTGGACCGTGGTTACGGACGGCCACCCCGAACATGTGTCGGTACCACAACTCCTCTTGCGGAAACGAAACGACTACCTTAAGTGTGCACACCCCCTAAAAGGGATTCCAAGCTCTCCGAGTAGTAAGTCATCCCGAGTGGTCGAAACCCAACCACTCCACCTTTAAAATTCTTGAATGATTAGGGACTACTACTATAACTTCTTCTTAAAAGGGATCATAGATCGAAATGTCACTTCAAACTCAAACTGTATTTCTTAGTAGTAGCAGCCCTGATCACCCTCCACATTTATCCGGATGTGGAAAACCGACACCTCGGATTATTCCCGAGATGCTCACTTCTTATGAAAATGTAAATTTTATCTTCAATTAAATAATACTTCAAAAATACTTCTCAATTTCTCTAAAAAGTCTCGAAGGTATTTAAAAATATTTAATACCCCAAAAGTACTTAATTTATATTTCTCAACTACCATATATATAATATATTCTCAAAATCACATACAAAAAATTCACAATTCACACTTAATCACATAATGCATAATAAGCATATAATACGAGGAAACAATTTTGGATTGACAGAGAAACTTACAGTAAGTCCCGATGCTCCTAATTCTCTTCCTCAATTCTGGTCTCTAAATTATCACCTTTTTAATTAAGATAATATAATTAGTCACTTACTCTACTTTTAATAATTTTATCCGTTTTTCCTCTTTTAGTTTTATTAATTGAATTTATTAATAAAATTAATTAATTTATTCGAATCTATTTTATCCATTAATTTTATTAATTAGATTACTTAATTAATTCGGCCATTAATTACACTCTACTTATAAAACGTCCAAACAATTATATTTAAATATACGAATTATCAGCATATCCGAATTATATTAAACTATTCAAATTTCATAATTACTTTACTTACTTTAATTTACATTAATCAACATTATTAGCATTAGTAAATCCGAATATTATAACAACTATTTAAATTAACTAATCGTCATTAACGTAGTCTGATTTTATTCATTACTCAAACACTTAATATTTCTGAGTCCGTAATTATGTTAATTTTATTAATCTACTTCAATTAATCCAATAATAAGTGAAAATAATATCCATCCAATTTTATTTAATCTATTTATGGTATTAAATCAAAATAACTAATTATTATACTAACAATTCATTTTATCATTTAACATTATGTAATTATGTTAACTAACAATTAACAAACTTATCTAAATGTTTATTAGTAATCAACCAGCCAATTCCATCATTACTATTTCTCATCTCAGATTTATCAATTTTGCAGATTATTATTATTATGATTATTATTTTTATTATTACTATTATCTAGCATTAAGAGTGTCAATCAGCCCAAACCAATACTCAATTATTCGGCCCAATTAAATTACAGCAATGACCCAGTTTCTATTTTAACCTGTCCGGCCCAATCATTAGTTAAATTTTAGCTTGGTTTTACATAGGAAGAAGTAGGGGTGGGCAAAAGACCCGGTCCCGTTGGTCCGTTCCGGAACGTTCCGGTTCCGTTCCGAAATTGTCCAGTTAAATTCGGGACAAACTATTTTTGTCCTGTTCCGATCCCGAACTGTTTCAAAACAAAACGGGACCGGGACAAATAAAATATGTCCCGTTCCGTCCCGTTGTCCCGAATTCAAAATTGTATGGAGTATATAGTTGTGGGTTAGTGAGTCTACCATCAATTCAAATACTAATGAATTTTAATATTAATTAGGTATTATTTATCTAATATGTAAAACACCTAAAGGAGTCTAAATTATATCAAGTATGAACTATCTTCTACATACTAAAAAAACTCACCTATACTTCACATGGTTCACTTCTAATAATATTGTTTGTCTTTTTATTTATTTTTGTAGTTTCTTAGTAGTATTGTGTGTGTTGGAGTTAATTGTTGTTGTTACGGTTTGTTTCGTGCAACTATCCTATTAATCTTCTATTTTTGTGTTGCATTTATCGTAAATTTTTGTATGTGTTGCATTTTTAGTGTTGTAGTTTTTGTCATGAAGTTTCTTATTGGAGTTGTATTTTTTTCGCTGCAATTTTTTTGGGATGTCCCGAACCGTCCCGTTCTGTCCCGGTACCGGTATAAAAGCGACAACACCGGGACAACATCTTGTCCCGTCCCGTTCTGTCCCATTATCCTAAACCGGGTTCGGGACCGGGATAGTCTAATTCCCGTCCCGTTCCGTCCCGTGCCCACCCCTAGGAAGAAGGATGAAGGATCACCTCCTCTCTGTGTCGTCTTCAACGTGAGGAAGCGTCGGAAAACGTAAGAGTTGCAGACTAACCTTATTGACGACGGATGATCGGCACAGCAGCGGGGTGATGGTTGTCAGCGACGTTTAGCAGTTGGCTGGCGGTAGCAGCAGAAGTTCTCCCATTTTTGATGTCAAAACCAGTCCGGCGAAAACTCCGGCGAGCTATTTCTCCCTCATTTCACGACCGTTTTCGACGGTTCTTTCACCGTTGGATTCCTCTCACGAAGGGGAAGGTTGTAGAAGTGTTTTCATGGCTCGGTTATTGCTAAAACGAGGGGTCGAAAAATTTTGTGTATATATATACGTATATATGTATATATACAGGGCTGAACTGATCGTTTTCTTGGTGAATGAAACGCAAGTTAGGGATGCTATTTATAGGTGTAGGTCGAGGGTCCAGGTTGTGTTAGAGTTTGTGTAGAACTTAATTAGCTTCTCCCTCACCCATTGGTGGTTTACATTGCGTAGGAGTCGCCGACAGGTTATGAGATAATATCGACGAAGAATTCATATTTGGTTGTGACTGTGAATGTAGTCTTCCTATGTTTTCTAATTTATGCAACGTACGTTTATGTATCCAGACTTTTACAAATGGTTATGCGTGCATAGTAAGTTTATATACGTATTATACTCCGTAGGTTGAATACTTGAGCGGCAGGTGTTGTGTTATTATACTTGGGTGTACCTTAGATTTTTAGCAGTAGGTGTTAAGGTATTAAATTTGATAACTTTTACTTCTTATGCCATATGTATACAGGTACTTGATATAAAATGTTACTTCTTTTATCGGACTACTTTTATCAGACTAAAAATGTCACAAATGTTAATTTTCTGTCTGGTTCACTTGTTTGTTAAAATGTTGTTTCTACTACTGTAATATCTTTATCTGACTAAAATGTCATAATTTTATAATTTTTTTTCCTGATTCGAATGTCACATCTGTTGAGTTTTTTTGTTTCACTCACTTAGTAATTAACATGTTATTTCCGTAACATTTTACTAATAAAAATTATATTTTATTTTTATTTAAACTTTTTGGAGTGTCACAAGGATGGGTGAGAGGGCAGTTCAAGGATTCAGTTTCACTATACAATCAGACAACTCCAACGGTGGAGACGTTGACAGTGGCCAGCAAGAGTTGTTGACCATTGATGATCTTACCAAACTACAGGAGGTTTGATTTGGATTTGAATTTGCACTTGAATAAACAACTCTAAGGATTAATGACCTATAAAACCTAGCGTTCCGGTTTGATTCGTTGATAAACAAGATGGGAAGCACTGGGTTTACAGGGAAATCGTCGCCATCGACAACTATAAGGATTGGTCTTACATTTCGTGCATCGGTTGTAACAGGAAGGTTTCACCTAACGGTGATAGCTTTTGGTGTGTGTCTTGCAATACTAATGATGCGGTTCTCAGGTCTATATTTTTTATATAATAGGTACTCTTAACCTTCTGCTCCGAACCTACTTAACAGCACATTGCCTAACATGTTAGGTACAAAGTCAATGTGAGGGTTGTTGATGGCACAAACCATGCGTCTTTCTTGCTTTAGGACAGAGAAGTCTCCTGTTTGTTGGGCAAGTCCGCTGCTTCGCTCAAGGACCAAATAACTAGGGTTTGTTTTAATTCTATTTCCATCCTACCTAATTTCCTTCTATGTTGCACTAATGCTTGATATTGATGTAGAGGAACTTTGGTCCGCATTACTTTCCCTCAGAGATAAACACCTTGATTGACATCGGGGCACTATTTAGGGTTCAGTTCAAAAGAGAAAGCAGGAATTTTAAGGGAAACCAGACTTTCAGTGTTCTTAAGATGAACACTGATCCAAAAGTACTTGCACTGTACACAGATAAGATAAATGGAAAGGAGGTACTCAGGTTTATATTTTCTGTTTTAAATGAGCAAGTTTAATTAGGCTGGAATACTGTAATTATTGTGTGCTGTTTTATTAGGAGGAGGATGAGTTCAGCAGGTTGGCTTCACAACATTCAAGGTCTGAAAAGAATATTGGATTTGGTAACCTAAGTTGCAAGTTAATCAAATTACCATTCAGATTGTTAGGATGGTCATTCGAATTTCAGGCTGGATCTTCACAAGCTACAGTGTCTAGCCCACTTATGACAAAGGAGAAGAGGCAGGTTCTGGAGGTCGACGCTTAGAGAGTGAAGCGTGACCTATTTGAAGATTTTTCAGCGTCAACCTCATCAAAGAAGCTCAAGGTAGTGAAGATTGAAAAGGAGTGAAGATATTAAATCGAGCAATGTCGTTCGTTAAGTCTGATTGTTATAAATGTTTTCTACGGTGGTGTTAACTGCTTAGTGTTTTGGATCAATTCCATATGTAAAGGACAAAGCATCCACCCTAGCCTTGACTCCAGAGTTATTTTGGTGTTGGGTACTTTTTTATTTTTGGGATGTTTTGGCCCTGGGATGTAGTCTACATCTGCACCGACCACCTATGTCTTTTTATTTGAAGATACATTCCATGGAATGAATGTACTTCAAAGCGTGTATCAGTAGGGTTCAGCTACTACTATCTGTTTATTGAAGATGCATTATAATATATTGTTTTTAAGTAAGCTCTATTTTGGATTTAATGCTTTTTTCAATTCTTTTGGATAATGTACAACAATTATTGTCCTCTACCTGGGTAACCCTTACTTCCATGTGCATAAAATGGAAGTGAGAAGCTACAGACAGTGAGACGGGTAGTAGGCATTACGGGTAGTAGGCATTACACATTGGTCTAGAAAAACCATAGGATCATTTACTTGATCTCTTGGTAAGGGAATCAGGATAGGTTTACTATTGGTCTAGAAAACCCGTTGGATCATGTACAACATTCGGTTTACACTGAATGTTTGATCTCTACCTCGGTTCTCTTGCCTCCAATGTATACATACAATGGAAGTAGGTCAGCATTTAAGGATTTATAGATTGGCTTCAAAAAACACATGTTAAGCATTTATGAGGTGTTAAGAAAAATATGAGAACCCTTAGTTAGTGTCGATTTTTCTTTTCTAAGTAAGAAGCACCCTCTTGGGAAAAAGGTTTACTTGAAAAAAGATTTTTATTTTGGAACGATAAGTGTCTAAGTGCATAAGTGTTTGGAAAGATAGAGAGAATTTAAATGTACGAAAGGCGTAAACACTTAAGGAAGGCGTAGATAGCATACCTGTAGTGTGGCCCGGAGCTTGGCATTACCTAAATCTATCCTATATCTATTATTACATACATTACAGATTGAAATTACAATTAAAAATATACTAATTATCCTAGGCATTTGCAACCCCTCTTAAAATTGAACAAGTTCCTGCAAATTGACACATAAAAAATGTGTTATAAATTGTATAAATTACAACTGAGTAAGAGCTGCAGATGAATTAATATTGAACCACTAATAACGACACAGAATTTATTTAAAATCAACCTAATTTTTTGGCAATCAAAGATTGTATGCAAAATGCAACTATGAAAATTCCTATGAAATATTGTACCATATATCACCCCCCTGAATGTGTGGTCTCTATGGGGCAATTAGTTTCACCTTGGCATTCGACTAAGAGTTTTTCTAATAATGCAAACACTTAAGCCATGACCTACCAATGGTCATGTCTTCTATATCATTTTTGTATTAATGCTAAAACTAATGTAATTAATGTCCTCGGGTAGGTTATGCAGTAAAACTTATTTAGTTAAAGTGTTTCTGTCCTAACCTATATTAATGTATTAATATAATAAATCCCCAATTTGAGCGGGTGAGTTTACAATTTCCCCAATAATTTCCCTATTATAATTGTAAACTCACCCACGTATTGAAGTAATAATAAATCCGCTTATAAAGTTTTTAAAATCAAGCTTATTTTTTGAAAAACACAAGTTCTATGCAAAAATAATGTGTGGCTTTTAAATATGAAATAATATCACAAACATCACAGCCCCCTCAATCCGTGGGATTTGTGGGGCAATTCGTTTCACTTTGGAAATCGTTTAGGGCACGTCCATGGGTAGATTATTTAGCATTTGGCAGTGTACTGATTTAATGCTTTCTACTCATACTAAAATCAACATACTCGATATCCCCAAATATGTTATGCAGTAAAACTCATTTAGCAGTTTGAATTATTTTTTAACACACTAGAGATTTTAATGCATAATAACTTCTAAAATATATCTTTTCAGTGTTCAAAATCATTTATTTACCGATCTGATGTGAAATAAGAACACATGATTTAACATACAGGTTCCTGTTTGTAATTCTAAACAGAATAATGTCAGTTAGGAAATACAAATCTACCCATTCCTTTACTTGCGTTCATGTAACTAGCTTTTTAAGTTAGGAAATAGATTTTAGACTTTTTAAAACACAGTGCAATTGATGGGCTCAAAGTTGGTGGACTGATTTAGACAGGTCATTAGTGTGAACTGTGCTTCGTACTTGACCAAATCTTTAAAAATCTGTGCAGCAGTTGTGGTCTTATGCCATAGGATGTTTTTTAAAAGCAAACCATGGCTTATTCTCGGTCAAAATTTTTTAACTTTGTTGTTAGTGGGAAAAATGATTGTTTTACTGTGTTTTGCCTAAAGAATTGGTTTGTCATTGTATTGTGCAAATCTATCAAGCTACCCAATATCTCAAACCAGTAATCTGCCTAATATATAGTGCATACTTAGAAAGTTATTTTCCCGGATAAAAATTTCTGGCAATCTCCATTCATAGTCTGAAGCCTTCATCTGAGGTTGGCTACTGCCTCACTGTGCATTGTGTACATCCTGCAGCAGTGTGTGAGATTAAAGGTTAACTATTCTTACTTTACTCATATGTTCTAAAATAAGAGTTCAAAATTCAACATGAAGGGTTCCTGTTTTCAAAATTTAAACCTCAAAAATGGCTGTGTTGTGAGATGGAAGTCTAATCTACTTTAAATTTTTCAAAAATTAACATTTTTTTAGATAACATGGGAAGGGAACCTTGGCATTTCTAACCCAAGTATGTTATGCAGTAAAACTTAATTAATGCAAGTGTTTTTACCCTACCCCGGATTTGTATTCTTGATATCTTCTGGGAAAAAATCTTTTTCGTTTGGGATAGGATTTATTTACTGATCTGTTCTAATATAAGAGTTGGAAAATGAACATAAATCTTACCTTCTTTAATTACAAACCAAATGATGTCAGTGTCATATTATTGGTTACTGAACTGCTTTGAGATTTTCTAACCTTAACATTTGTTTAGATAAACAACTAATGGGAATAGAGGAATGTTTGTGTGATTTGGGTGGAGGTGTGGACTCAGAAGGATTGATAAAGAGGTGTGGAATCTGTTCATCGCTTGGTCACCAGAACGTCATGTATATGATTGAAGGGTGTGCGTGTGATATATGGTATTGCGAGACATGTGATGCTGAATATAAGCTAGGTTTTCTCCGACAAGCACCCGTACAGACACTACTCTCACCGGCAGAATTGTCACGGGTGTTTGTTCTTCATGATCTAACATGGTTCTACAGTTATGTTGGGGAGGGTTTGGGGGTGACCACGCCTGGGGTGGGGGAGGAGGTGGTCTTAAGGCGGTCTACACATACTATATATCTGAACAGACGTTACTTTGGAGGGGAGTATGTTGTTGTGACACCCCCAAATTTTCCACCCAAAATAATACTTAGAAATAGAGATGAACTTTTATTTAATGATCAAAACTTCAAAAGTTGCAGCGGAAATTAATAAAACTAAGTAAAAGGGGTATGTCACCGCCACATCCAATCCGTGAATGATTGGATGCTAAGGCTATCTACCAAAACACGAGTTTAACAAAATCAAGATGTTCGAATCATAAGAAAATATTAAAGTTTATTTCTAGTGAACTACATAATTGTCTTCTAATTCGCGCTCTCAAACATTGCAGCATCAAAATCATCATGATCACCTCCTGTTAAATACGAGCACAAGAAAAATAAAAGAAAACAACCATTAGCAATAATGCTAAGTAAGTTCCACCTAACCTTTTAAAATAATAATAAATAATATATATAAATTCGTACAACCTCATAAAATATTTTTCAACACTTTATAAACCATAAATCATAAGTAAACGATATCTATATAAAATCCCAATCACATAATTAACTCGTAAACCATAATAATTCCAAAATACATGAAACACCAAAATTCTCCTCTTTTGAATTTCTCCCAATATCACTTTGTATCTAACTTCCTAGTAATTTAGAAGGGCGGTGCTCAACACTTTGGTTGAGCCCGGTGGTCCGTTGTTATATACGGCCACCCCGGAACTATCGCCGGTACCACAACTGCTCCTTGGAAACGGAAACAACTACTTTAAGTGTGCACACCCCCTAAAGGTATTCCAAGCCCTCCGGGTTAGTAAGTCGATCCGGGTAGCCGGGATGTTTTCTACCAACTACCCCACCTCAAAACCTGAATGATTAGGAGCTACTACTACTACTACTACTCAAAAGCCGGGATGTTTTCTACCGACCGACAATTCACCTCAAACCAACACAAACCAAAAATTTCGTAGTAGTAGACCTAACCATCCTCCACATTTTAAGGGACGTGGAAAACCAACACCACAGATTTCTCTCGTGATGCTCACCCTTTATGAAAATATTTATTTCTCTTTGTTTTCTCAAAATCAATCGAAGTTTATACTTCAAGAATTTCCTTTTTCATTAAACTCCCACAAAGATAACAAATTACGTACTATTACAAAATCTTCCAAAATAACTCATATCAACAAACTAATATCTCAAATACAATCCTTTTATATAATGATATTCAAATTCAGCACACATAAATTCAATTCTCAAATATGCACACAAAAATATGTAAAAGAAATCACGAAGAAAAAGAACTAATATCGGTTGACGTGAAACTTACCTTAAGTCCCGATGCTCCTAATTCTCTTCTTCAATTTGGGTCTCTAAGTATTCACCTTTTTAATTAAGATAATATAATTAGTCACTTATTCTATTTCAATCATTTATCCTTTTCCCCCCCTTTTTATTTCCTTATTCAAATTTATTAATTAATTAATTATTCGAGTTAATCACTTTTTATTAATCAAATTACCTTATTAATTCAGTCATTAATTACAATATTTGAATTCTAATATTAAATAAAATATTCGAATATAATTAACTACAACATCTAAATTTTTATTCAATAATCACGATTAATATTAATATTTCCTTATTTAATTACTTAACTAGTCTTATATGGCCTAATTTAAATAAATAGACTAAGAATCGACTTTATAAATTAGTAACCGTCCATAAATATATTTTGGGTCTATATTCGACCTAGGTTGTCCAGATATTTATTTTATAATTATTTTCCATAATTATTCCTTTAATTTCATATATCTATTAATCGGTTTAATTACAATTAAATATACTAATCCTTATTTTTATTAATTATAAATGGTCCATAAGGTCCTAGTTAGTTATATATTTATCCTAGTTTACTCCAATATTTATTTCATAATTATTTTCGTTATTTAGTTAATTATTTACTAAATGTGTATAAATTGGCCCAATTACCATTAAATCAATTAAAAATAGCTAAA